CCATATACAGATCCCTTAACTCCTTCAGTTTTCAGTATCCATTGATAGTAAGTGTAGCACATTTGTCCAGCCCTAACTCCATTGCAATATCTTGGCTGTATATAAAAAGTGTTGAGCAGCAATTCCATTTCAGATGCTGCTTTTCCATACTGCTTCTGATGCTCCATGTAATGGAAGTGAGATAGCCTGGCAGATGTTTTTGACGTTTCATAACCATGGCCTGACTTGTTCAAGTATTTTTTGACAGAGGAATTAATGCAGTGACAAATGGTAGTGAGTCTCCTTGAAAGATTCCCATCTTAATGTTAATCTCTTCCAGTCTATCACAATTGACCAACAACCATGTCTTCCATTGTGCCATTGATCTTTGCACAAAGCTTTCGACCGACTCCTCTAATTTCTAGACACTTGATTATCCAATCATGTGGCAGGGACTCAAATGCCTTCAGATGCTCTATGTAAAGGAAGTGGGATAGCCTGGCAGAGGTTTTTGATGTTTCATAGCCACAGCCTGACTTGTTCAGTATCCGTGCCACATTCAACTTGTCTTCCTTCTCTTCCAGTTTTACAGAATCATCTTGTCAGTTAAGAACTGATCTTTTGTTCCTTTGCTGTTTAGGTGGTTTCCTTTTTGCTCAGGTAGAAAGAGCTTCTTTTCAATTAGATTATGGGTATCCAACCTTTTGACTTGCCTGGGCCACATTGAGTGAAGAGGAATTGTCTTGGGCCTCATATAAAATAATATAGTTAATGTACTGTGTATAAATCACATAATTAATGTTAAAAGTTTAAAATCTTATATGGTGGCATTACTAGTGCATGGCCTCATCCAGCTCATGGGCCATGAGTTGGACATCCCTGAACTAGAACCATCAATTTTAAAGTTTTTGGTAAGTGCCCCGTAATTGCCTAGTGTTGACTTTTTGTTGGATCTTTCATTGTCAAGTAGATTTTGCCAGATGTTAACCATTCTTCAATTTTAGCCCCTTGCAATATGTTGTTATATTATTATTACTATTAAGATTATTCATTGCTATAGTATTTTTGTTCTTTCTTTCGTAACCCTTTTAGTTGACAGATAATTTTATTCAGTTATTTATTTAATACGCAGTATAAAAAGTTCTTAGGTTATATACAAAATCAGATTAGCTTTGCAGATTATTTCCTTAATTGCCCGCATGAAATGAACATTATTTTGAATAAATAAAATGTTGCCAACTAATAAATCACCCAAAATTACATAATTTTTATCTTCTACCTGTTTTAAGTGGATGCAGCATGGTAAAGCTAACCTAACTGTTGTTTCATTTTATTCTTGTGTGTTAGTATTAGTTAAGTTTAAAATTGTATTTCTTGGCAAATGAGAAAAGAATTCAGAAGTATTAAGACACCCACTTTTGTGCTAGAATTTAATATGCAACTTTTTATTGGAAAATAATCGTCCTTGTCTGGCAAAATCCACCATGCAATATTTCTGTTAGTAGACATAATGTAATAAAGGCAGGGAGGGCTATTTATCACAACAAATTTTGAGGATTTCAGGATTCTTTTTATTATTTTAATATATTTCTTTGGTATTAAATCAGAAAAATGATAAATTACACCTGTCGAGGTTGCTTTTCCTTTTTGCTGGAAAATGATGAACAACCCAATTTTGCTGGTCATTTTGGCTTTTACCAGTACATATTTTTTTCCTCTTAAAAATTTATTGGCTCAGCTTTTAAAGAATAATACTAAAGTACTTTTTATTTCTTACATATGAAGTGTTTATAAATACTTCTGGTATTGCAAACGGTGACCTTTATAACATTGCAATAGTTTATCAGAACAACTCTGGCTGTAGTGCTCACTTAACACAAGCATGCTTCATTCTGATGGGGATTATGCCAGTGTGGTAGGTTGAAGATTAAGCTCCCATTAGGTATACAAAATTTTGTGAGAAGCACTGGAATTTTTTGGGACATCACATTCCATTGACTCATTTTCAAAACACAGAGTACATTAAATTGTGATTAATTTAAGAGGCTAAAAATAATTAGTTTATTTTTAAATGCCTTCTCGTTGTTTAATTCATTCATATGTATATAATGTCCTTTCAGTAACAATTGCCATGTGTTTCTTGAAATTGCTGCTTTTATTATGCATAAGGATTATTTATTGCCATGGGGGGTATGTTACACTTTAAAAATAATTTTAGAAACGATAAAAGAGAGGAAAGGGGAGAAATTTTAAGCAACAAGAGGCAACAAATGATTTGTGTTGCTGTCTTCTTTTGTATTATTTTAACACTTTTTCCAAGCTTGCATATTTAGAGATATATTAGCCCAATTTGATTTTAAGGCTCGGTTATTTGAATTATAAATCATTACGTCCCTTCTAGCTTGATCAGTCATGGAATAGCTTTGAATTCATTTACATAATGGAATGTGTTAGTGTTTCTTTTATGTTGGTGCAGCAGTGCTGCTTTCATGTATTCTCTTTTGTTTCTAATAATTAACTTTATCATAATGTTTCCTGTAACTGGGCCTGTATACTTGTGTGTGTGTGTGTGTGTGTGTTGCTTTTGTTTGTTTTTGTGAAGTTACTGCATGCAAATGACTCTTTTAGAATTTGGGGTTTCTACTTCCTCATGTTTACATTGACTGAAACTTTTCTTTAGATTTAAGAAAGGTAAAGTTCTTAACCTGAAATGTTTGGTTTCGGTTGGTAATATTTGCATTAATGTTTAATAACTGAAAAAAATAAAAAAAAATTAAAATGAGCATTTTAAAATCTTATCCATTACCAAAAAGAAGACAGCTTACTTAAACTTGGTTAATTGAGCAATGAACCATGTAGTGGTCTGAACCTGGTTTCCCCAATTTGGTACCACCCAGGAGGATTGAGACAAAATTCCCAGAATTCCTAGTTTTATTTGCAACCTATTTAGGAGCTTCCAGCTCAAGAAGGTTGGTAATTCTTTACATTCGTGTAATAAAGATAAAAATTATGGCCATTTTCCAGTATTGATTTTAAGTAGTGTTGATAATTATCATGAGTTTATGATCATGAAATCTAACCAGTCCCTTTTGTTTAAACATGCTACATGCTTATAACATGAATTATCGCCATTATGTAAATAGTATTAAAAGTAAATTTCCAAATTTAAGGACAGATAAGCTGTATGCAGGTGAAACCACAAAGATGCAGGTGTATACTTGAGATAAAAGGAAATATAAGTATTTTCATATTTTCATTTTAATTTAAATAATTTCCAGATTGCCAGTAAAACTTTTCAGTAAAGGTCAATTTACTGCTACAATTTCAGTTCTATTCCTACATCCTGGATACTGTAATGGTTGGTTCACAGACTGATGATAATTCAGGACTCAGTGTTATGAATCTACAAACTCCTCCTCTGTTATTAGTAAAAAGAAATGCCTCCCTTCTTGTGCACAAAAAAGTCATTTCAAAAAAAGCGAGAAAGCTCTATCCTAAGGAGAATAGGACAGGAATAATTCAGTTGCTGAACTTCTTGTAACCCTCTCCCTTTCATTTCAATACTTTTTTTAAGGCAGATTCTAAGAATCTTCGTTCATAGAATCATAGGGCTAGAAGGGATCTTGGTGGTCTTCTAGTCCAACCTTCCCAAGACAAGAGTGCTTATTCCATCCCAAACAAATGGTTGTCCAATCTTTTCTTCAAAACCTCCAGCAATGGAGTGCTCACAATTCTGGGAGAAAAGCTCTTCCATTGACTAATTGTTCTCACTGTCAGGACATTTCTCTTAAGTTCTAGATTGGATCTCCCTCTGACTAGTTTCCATCCATTGCTCCTTGCCTGCCTTCAGGTGCTTTGGAGAATAAATCAGTCCCCTCTTTCTTGTGACATTCCTTCAAGTATTGGAAGACGGCTATCATGTCACCCTTAAGGCTTCTCTACATTAGACTAAAGTTATTACTGGTAGTTCCCTTAGATGTTCATCATATGGTTTAGCTTCCAGACCTCTTATCATCTTTGTTGCTCTTCTCTGTCCTCTTTCTAGGGACTCAGCATCTTTTTTTGTATTGTGGTGATCAGAACTGGACACAATATTCCAAGTGTGGCTTTACTAATGCAGTCTAGAGAAGTACTATCGTGATCTTGATGCTATCCCTTTATTGATGCAGCCAAGAACTGCATTGGCTTTTTTGGCAGCTGCCGCATACTGCTGGCTCATATTTCAGTTTTGGTACACCAGAGCGTGTAGATCCCTTTCACAAGTACTACTATTAAGCCAAGTATTGCCTATTTTGTATCTGTATTTGGTTTTTCCTGCATAAGTGAAAAATCTGATTCGTTCTCACCACTGAACTGCATCTTATTGGATAGAACCCAGTGTTCAAGTCTGTCAAGATTCTTCTGAATCTTGAGTCTCTCTTCTAAAGTGTAAGCAGTCCGTCTCCCCCAGTTTCCCCCCCCCCCCAGGTGCTTGGTCTCATTTGCAAATTTGATGAGTGCTTGGACAAATTACATAGTCCAAAAATACATTGTCCAAAAATAATTCCAAAAAGTAAAAATTTCAATTTTTAAGATTGTTAATGTTTATTAGTATGGATAATAAGTGATGATTTTGAACTATTTCCCAGTAATGATGTCAACTGTGGTAAAATTGATAAAAGCACCTTCAAATTGAGTTTGATTCTTGGTGACTATAGGAAAGCTCAAACAGTTCGTCTTTTTCAATAATCTAGAAATGGATTTGCCTTCTCCAGGATGAATGTATATTTGCTTTTAAATTTCCAAAGGCCATGGAAGATTACCTCTATCCCACTTTTCCCAATGTTATACATTTCCCACTGATTTCCTTAAAAAAACCCAAGTTTTTTTCACACATGTATGCTCATCTATATACAACTATATACACAATACGTATATTCATTTATGTTATCTCTTGTTTCTTGTCTTGTCAGTCAGAATTTTAAATGTGTGTGATATTAATAAATTAATTGGACTGTGTTATTTTCCTTAACAAGAAATACTTATATCCTTTTAAAAAAACTTGTGAAAATAGATGCTGTGAAGTTCATGCTACAAAATCATACGGTAGGCCTTTTTAGTTTGTTTTAATATTTTTTAAAATTGCTAATTTTAAATCATGAATAAATTTATTTTGTTATCTGTTCTTTACCACCAGAGTAAACACTTTCCATTCTTGGGTGCCAATGATAATTATGGTTTGACCGATCTTAGATGCAGAACAACCTTCTATACTGCTCTTACACGTCTCCTCATGGTAGATTTAGGTAAGAATGTGTTCATCTTTTTTTCTTCTGATATTGCACACATTTCTGTACAATGTTCTTAATAATTAACTCTTAGCATCAGTGCTATTTCTTTCAGCCAAAATAATGCATGCTAGATAATTCTGCAAATATTATGTTGCAATCTAGTAACTTAGATTACATATAAAGAAAGCAAATTTTGAAGTTTGGGGATGTGCATTCATAAAAGGTAAAGTATTAAGTCCTAAAGCAAGTATCAGAATATGCAAATGCATCTTCTTGTTGCAGTTTATCTCAATACACTGATCTCTTTATAACATACATGTACATTCTCTGTGAATGTTATTCAGAACTTTCTAGAGCTACATTTTGTACTTGTCACTCTCCGTTTTCATCACTGAAAAAAGTCTCTCTATATATAAAAGCGAAAACCACTCACGCTGTAATCATGAAATCTCCAGAACCGTAAAACCTACAAAATTGAAATTTGCCATGTATGTTCTTGGCTTCTAGGTGCTCACTAAGAAAGAGTTTTTCGAAATGACCATCAGAGCATTAGTATTTGCTATATTATTATTAACACGCCCTGATGCTAAGGAGTTCTACTCCCCCTCCCCACCTGAAAAGAAATCTGTTCCAAATGCAAAACACAAGCAGAGGAGAGGAGTTTCACTTTCAGTTTTACTTTCACAGCAGGAAGCAGGTTTAATACAGAACACTTGAGCTAAGCACCGCCAGGCTCCTTCCTGTCTCCTCCTTGCTCACACAGCAAATACAGTTTCACTTTCCAAACAGCCCTCTGATGCTAAGGAGTTCTACTCCCCCTCTCCACCTGAAAAGAAATCTGTTCCAAATGCAAAACACAAGCAGAGGAGAGGAGTTTCACTTTCAGTTTTACTTTCACAGCAGCAACCAGCGGATAGGATAGGGGAGGCTTCTGTGGGGCAAGGCTGAGGGAGAGAAGGGGATAGGATAGGGGAGGCTTCTGTGGGGCAAGGCTAAGGGAAAGAAGGGGATAGGATAGGGGAGGCTTCTGTGGGGCAAGGCTGAGGGAGAGAAGGGGATTGGATAGGGGAGGCTTCTGTGGGTTAAGCCTGAAGGAGAGAAGGAGATAGGATAGGGGAGGCTTCTGTGGGGCAAGGTTGAGGAAGAGAAGGGGATAGGATGGGGGAGGCTTCTGTGGGGCAAGCCTAAGGGAGAGAAGGGGATTGGATAGGCTTCTGTGGGGCACGCCTGAGGGAGAGAAGGTGATTGGATAGGAGAGGCTTCTGTGGGGCAAGCCTGAGGGAGAGAAGGGGATAGGATAGGGGAGGCTTCTGTGGGACAAGGCTGAGGGAGAGAAGGGGAGAGGAGAGGCCGATCATAACTACTCATTAATTTTCAAGCTTTAAGTGTCAATTTATCAAGCCCCATCACATAGTTTCATAGCGAAGCCCAGATATCCAGCTAGTAATAATTAAAATTCTAGATAAACCCAATCTAACCACAAATTTTCATAGATAAGTTCTAAAATTTTGGAAAATAATTTAATATCACAATTACATCTTTGATCTTAAATTCTTACCAAGAATTTAGTCCAGCATTGTATTAATCTCTAATTAGATTATTTGAATTTCTTAAGGCATTTTTCTCCCAACTACAACAGCAGTTACACATTTGGAATCTTTCTCTTTAATCTGTGACTCCTTAATATAGTTTAAGTAGACTCATTCATTCATTTTCCATAAGTGAGCTAAAGATTATATGGCTGTAAAAGCTGCATTTTTAAAGTAAGCACGGTATGGAAATAAACATCTTCCTCTGTTGGGTACTCTGTATATCTCATAAAATAAATAAATAGTAACAAATCTTATCTTGGAAAAACGACATATAGTTAAGTCATGCCTTCACTACCAAGCACTTCCCTAAACAGGAGAGTACAAGTAGTCGTCCCACTTGTGAATTCTCTGGGAAAAAGCATTAAGACTGTTCAGTTTTGACACTTGCAATGCACAATAGCCAAAGAAACCTTGTAGCCCAATGATGACGAACCTTTTCTGTACCGAGTGCCCAAACTGGAATGCGCATGCATGTGTGCGCGTCAGACCGTCGGAAATCTGAAGACCAACTGGTCGGCGCACACATGCCTGTTTTTTGACTGTTTTCCAGGCCTGAAAAACAGCCTGTTTTTGGCCTTTTGGGGGGCTGTTTTCAGGCCATTTTCTGGTGCTCTGGTGTCTGCAAAGACCAGCTGGCCGGCTCATACATGCACGTCGGAAACCAGAAGAGTAGCTGGCGACAGCGCGCATGCCCACAGAAGGGCTCTGCGTGCCACCTCTGGCACACGTGCCATAGGCTTGCCATCACGATTGTAGCCTATCTGCAAATGTAAGGTATTTAATACTCTGGGTTGGGTATTCTAAATACAAATGTATAAAATGATTAAGAAGTGCGTCTGGGTTGAGGAAGTGAAAAAAGTTTTATCATTGTAACTCTGATCCCTTCCTCCGATTTTCTCCTCCCAGTCATTTCAGTGGAATCTCACCCTACTTTGAACAGTCCTAGTCTACCTCCATGTGATTCTCTAGAACTAGCTCTGCAGGGAATACCATATCACTCAATGAAGGGTATATCTAGAATTTCTGAGTCCATGTTAATTTATCAGACATGATGGCACCACAACAATTGGACTGTTTGTATCAAGAACTGTTGATAGTTCAGTGAAGCTGTGTGTTTCTTTTGCCTGGAGGAGTCCGTTTCTCAGTCTGTTGCCACCATCTTTCTGCTCGGTGGAATCCTGTCAAAAATAACCATAGACAAGACTAATTGTATACAGATAGTCTCCTGGTGACCATGTCAGCCTTGCTTTGCTCCCTGCCATCTGTCAAAATAATATATACCTCTCACAGGATTCTTAGATCTGGATCTTTATGAGGGCAAATATGATCCCTCATTATTCAGTCTAACTGTGGAACATTCTTATATGGTTCTCCCTGCATTGAAGCCCAGGAGAGACTTATAACTGCAAAATAAAAACAACGCTGTAGTGAGCAAAACCTATTGTTGAAAATGGTAGGTATTTGAAATACTTGCAACCAAAACCAACTGACCACATCTACTGTTTCATATACTACTTGCTTTCTGCTGTTGGGAAATATTTGACTTCTCTTCCTAATGGCCTATCACCTTCTAATGGATGAGATATTGCATCCAATCTCCCACCTCCAGCAATTTAATTAAATGCTTCCTAAAAGGTTTGAACCTTTAATAGCTGTGTTAAAGTTAGCAAAGATATTCTACCAGTAGTACTTTGGTAACATATTGAGTATCACTATAAATCCAGCTGTCTACCTTCATGTGACATCCATTATTAGGAGAGCAGATCCATTATGGCTTGGAAGTTTGGCTAAACATCTGGACATATAATTCAAACTGGGTTTTAATCCACGCAGTGAGTACCCAAACCTGGCTGTTCCTTGCACAAGACTTTTTGGACACTTCTACCACTGTGTATATTTGAATTACAGAGACTGTGAATAGGAGGATCAAAGTATATATTTGTGATTAATTTCCTGAATCAGTAAATTCAAGTATAACATACACTGCAATAGTATCTGGATCCAAATATGTACAGAGAGATAGGACCCCTGGATGTTAACATTATGTTCCTGCTTCTTGCTTTTGGGGGTAGAAGCTTGGTCATTTATACTGTCATCACCTGTCCTACAGGGTGTCTCATTTGTATCTATCCCCTAATTCTAATGTGCAATTGAGATAAAGAATCAATTGATGCCTTTGATGCCTTATTGGCATCAGAATGCAAATATTGAAAAAATCTATATGGTATTGCCATTTCCAAAAAGCCTGGTATGCATTTGGATGTATATACACACACACTTTATGTCATATTCTTCTTAATATGACTTAGATCATCATCCAGCAATACCTGTCAGGATTTTATTTATTTGTTTCTTTGTTACATTTTGGAATTGCTCATCTCTCGCAGAGGGACTCTGAGTGGTGTTCAATAAAATATTAAACATAAAAATATTATATAAACTTTAAAATTTTTAAAAAGAGTGATTTTAAAAATTAATTAAAAGGTGAAGAGAGGGTTTTCAGGGCACTAATTAACCACATTGCTCTGTACTCCTTTGAGTTCCCCATGCGAGGTTGCAAAACCATGTTTTCACTCCTTTTCAGAAGGCCAGGCATGTGGGGACCTTTTTCTTATTTCATCGGGGGGAAATATTCCACAAGGCGGAGACAGTGACAGAGATAGCTTTTCCTCTGGATCCGGCCAGTTGCAACTCTTTAACTGACAAGGTTCACAGCATACCTTTCTTGCCTGACACAAACTTGTGTTTATTAATTTTTTTTGTGCAATGTTTGTCCTACATAGAATCTGTGCAGATTTGATAATAGGTTGCATGGGCAATTTTTGGCACCCTTTGCTCCATGAAATGCATTTGGATGTCAGTTTGCTTCCGGGTTCATTTCAGGGTGTTGGTTAAAGTCCTACATGGCATTGGGCCAGGCTACTTATGAAACCATCTTCATTCCATTACATCAGCCCACCCCATTTAGCAAAGAATGCAGTCTCTATTTCCCTAATTTGCTGGGTAGTTATTCAGCTCAAATGGGGATTTCTGGAAAATTCCATGGCTTGGTTTATCCTGGTAAGATTCATATGCCACCTCTATTAGAGTCTGAGTACTTTCTTGATACCTTATTTAATTTTCGCCTCTGACCCTTCTGCAGAATTTTGATACAAAAGTTGTTTTCAATGTGTTGCTTCATTATTTGGTTGATTTTTGACTATATTTAACTTCACAAATTATATAATATAGAGTAATAACACCATAGTTGAGTAATTTCAGCTATGCCACATGTTAGATAAACAAGTAAACAACTTACATAATTATGTGTGCAAGCCTAAATACAGCCTGAAGTATTTCAATCCTCCCTGTTGATTGCCTCCTAGAATTGCATCCAAAATAAAATCCTGGTGTTATCTCTTAGAAAAGACTTTATAGCAGGCCTACCATATCTAGATTGCAAAGATTCAGATAATCCCTGTCACATATTTAGGAGAAAGATTGTTAAGAGTTTTTGTATAGTAGTCCTTTTTTAGCAACCACAATTGGGACTAGCAATTTGTGATTGTGATCAAAAGAGCCATGGTGGCACAGTGGTTAGAATGCAGTACTGCAGGCTAACTCACTGCTCAATCCAGAAGTTTGATTCTGAACACCTCAAGGTTGACTCATCCTTCCATCCTTCCGAGGTAGGTAAAATGAGGACCCAGATTGTTGGGGGCAATATGCTGACTCTGTAAACCGCTTAGAGAGGGCTATAAAGCACTGTGAAGTCTAAGTGCTATTGCTATTATAACCTCACTTTCCCTTCGATTGTTAAATGAAGTGTTGCAGTCGATAAGCAAAGCATCTCATGTCTGCAACTTAAGATTTTACTTTTGCCTTCTCTATGAGCTCTGCTTGTCACAAGCCAGTTGTGAAGCATATTAGTGGTGATCATGAAACCTGAAGCACATAATGGTGATCATATGATCATGGGCACTGCAATGGTCATAAATGTGTGCTGGTTGGGAAATGTACAAATAGTGATGTTGGTATGCTATGACAGTCATAAACGTAAGGATTGATCAGAAAGCTTTTTTTTTTTTTTTAAATCTATAACAGTTTAGTGTAGCCATTAAGTGAACAGGGCAAATAAAATCGCATGATTACCAGTCTTCCCAAAAATCGTATTTGTGTGTAGTTTTCTAAACTCTGTGCATTTATAACAGATCTGTATCAATGCACTTTAGATCAGAATGGTTTGTGTGTGTGTGTGTGTGTGTGTGTGTGTGTGTTCTGAATTTCTTGTTCTTTCTTAATACTTTGTTCATTATTTCAGAATGAATTATTAAAGTTTTGTTGCTCACCAAAAGTTAAGATCACCATAAATTTTGACAGAACTTTGAAAGATGTAGCAATAGTACCATTTTATTTCTGAATGCAAGGAAAATACTCTGAAAACTAAGTAGCTTGTGTACTCCTGTTAGTGGTATATAGATATGAACACCCTTCCCTGATATCTTGGGGGTGGGGTGGGGGGGTTGTCCTATTCTTCTAGACTTCAAAAAAAAAAAAAACAACCCATGAACATCTGGTTTTTCTCAAAGCATTGGGGAGGCTGTAGTCCAGAAAATGTGTAGTGAGGGGGTGTGTGGGGATCTGTGACAGTTGGTGGTATGGATGTTTTGGTTTTTATTGTTTTTATTTCATTTCATTGTTTGTGAGCTGCCCAGGATCATATTGCATAAGATGGGCAGCTTTATAAATCTCTTAAATAAAATAAATAAATGATGTCCTAGGATACCAGAGTTACAAGGTGAAAAGCTTTGTTTGTTTGTTTGTTTGTTTGATTGATTGATTCTTGTCATTCCACTCCACTCCTGCTATCCCCCACTTTCCTTTTTCTCCAGGAATTGCTCTATTTTCCATGCCCATTATTATTACAGTATTTCTTTTCCTAATTAATTCTTATTTTGGAGGGGGATTGTGTATGTATTCCAAAGGTGCTATATTAACAGTGTTTGACATATTAGTGTTTTTGGGGGGCAACTTGAAGAGGTTTATAGTGAGAACAAAAAGGACATTATCCAGGCAAAATGACAGTTTTTTCTAAACTGCACAGATCAAAGTTCCTCTCCAGCTTTCCTACTTTTTTTTCTGTCTCTCCCCTCCCCCCTCTTATTGAGGTATCTCAATATTACATACACTTTGAGTTTTTATGGGACTATTTTGAACATCACTTTCCTTAGCGATTTTTCCCTAAAGAATGTTGAGCATCAGTGAAACCTCTTAACTATAGGATGTTCATATGTTCTTTGATTCATATATGCTATAGTTTTAGCTACATTAGCTTGACAGGAATTGGCAGTAGACAGTATACTAGCTATCCAGTAGGGTTAACTGAAGAAATGTTCCCAGTGTAAAAGGCTAAGTTGTATTTACATATTTACTAAATATCTCAGGGGTGTCAAAGTTGCGTTGTCACAGCAGCATCATATGACGTATCAGGACTTTTTTCCCCTTTGCTAAACTGGGCAGGGGCGGAGCCAGCACATGACGCATCCAGCTTGTGGGCTGCGAGTTTGACACCCCTGAAATATCTTCATGGATGTGATAGCTTCACAATTCCCTTTAACTATGATCTTTGTTGACAGAGATGGTCTATAAAAAAAATAAAGATATTCATTTAAACACAGGTAGTGTTTCAAAGTTCCTTAAAGCCAAACACCTGAGTAGGATTCAGATCAATTCCTAAAATAAAAGAACAAAGAAGAATAGCAACAGGCTGTGAAATAATTGCTGGTGACTGCTTTGTCAGTCCATGTGTTTACTAAAAGAAGTCACCAGATTTAAGAACATTTCAGGTGTAGCTTTGCATAACCCAAAGTTTTTGTTTATTCACATAATAGCTACTATGTCAAATTATTTAATAATATTCGTGTTTATAGTTGTGTCCTCTCCCCTCCTTTTCTTGCAGGAGAAGATGAGGATGAGTTTGAAAACTTCATGCTTCCCCTGACAGTTTCATTTGAAACCTTAGCCCAGATATTTAACAATAGCTTTAAGCAAGAGGAAGCAAAGGTAGGTTACACTCTGAGTAGAAGGAGAAATATTGCTCATCATAATAAATAGTGGTTTAAAATATGTAAAATTAATCACATTTAAATCCTATTGTATTCAGTGAAAGTGAGTTATGAATAATTCTATTCTCCGTTTGACATCCATATGATCAGTTTTGGCTACATGGTTGAATTTTTCTTATCCTTGCCTTTATTTATGGAACACTGTCTTTTAAAAGCAGATATTCCATAAGAAAATTCTGTAATTCCTGGACTTTCAGGTATGATGCTACACTCCCCATGGAAAGGGGAAGGTCTGAAATCTACATCTTAAGAGCCGTGCAAAGCATTGACAGGGCACAAGAGTAGATCAGAGAGCAGTGGCTTCTTTTCCTTTACTTACCATGCTTCTGACTCTCATCCTGACTTGACACATACCTTGTAGCTTAGTCAGGACAAGTTGTTGAATGATTGAAGGGGCCACGGCAAATGTAACTAATCACTGGTCTGTGTTGATTGCTCGAAGAGAAGAGTAAAGGCTCTGCCATCCAGTGGAAAGAATAGAATTCCATTGGGGATTTTTTCCCTCAAAAATTTTATTCATAAAAAGATGAAATTAAAGATGGCACTGCACATGAAAATATCACGAGCTCCCTTCTCTCCATTAGATTTAATAAGAGACATATATGACATTATGCAGTGAATTTATTTATTCCCTTCACTTCTCTTTTAGCAACAAGTAGACAAGGTTTAAAACATGGTGTCCCATTATAGTTTTCCTTACTAAATAGGAGCCAGACATATGACTGGTGTTTTTAGTTGTAGTCCTGTAGTCTATACTGTATTTAGTTCTCCCTGCTGATTACTGCTTTTGAACAAGATCTAAAATAAATGTTTAGCATCCTTTCTTTGTGTAATTTTGTCTCTTGCATATTAAATACTTGGGAGCTTGTGTGCTCATCTGTCTGTTTAATTTACATATTACAGCTGGGTGTGAGTAGATTTATAGAGGACCGAGACATATGCAAGCTAAAAACATTGTATGCTTAGAATATCTCTTCTAAACAAGAATTTAATATATAAATCAAGAGTTTATTAAATGGCTGGGCATATATGTATAAATAGGAACTGGTCTTGAAGTATTACATTCTTAAACCCAACAAAGTGATTAGGATAACTGATAGCTAAATAAGGTTTTTATGTGCCTGTGGGAGCCATATTAGGATTGATTTGACAAGTCAGTTCAGCTGTGGCAACAGTCATATTATCTAGCACAACATTATGTTTTATTAGTAAAATCCTTAAGTGTAGCAAGCTGTTTGTGTCAAAACAACAGTATATTTTAAGGGGAGAAAAGACTTGCTAAGTGGAAGCTGCATTATCAGGAACAAAACACATTAGCATAGCATTACATTAAATAAATTGCATTCTTGTATTATGAACAAACAGTTAACCATGCACTCTAGAGTGGCTATTTCAGATATGTTGTGTAATATTCCTAGAAGCTCTATCAGTATTTTTTCTTTAGCATTTTAAAGTGTGATGGGAGACTCAGTAGCATCGTTGCTATTTTTCCTTCTCCGATGCATTTCAAGAGAACATAAGCCCCAATTCAGTGAGCTATATATTAATTCCACAGTTTCAGAGAATATCTGAGCTACTTATTCAAAGAGCTCTCCACTCCACTTTGCTAGCTGTAGGAAATTTAAGGGAAGTTAAAAAATGGTTCTGGGACAGAGCCAAGACACTTTGCTGCTTCAGAAAGAGGACAAGAAGACACGGTTGCCATTCCGTTATTATATGGAAGCTGCCATACAGAAGCAATTGAATCTCAGTTCAGTACTTGTAAGGGGAAGCAAGCTAGCTTGTAGAGGTAAAAAGGAAAAAGCCATTTGGGATATCTTCCCTTCCAAAAATAGCAGCCATGACTTTCTAGAAAACATAGTCACTCGAGAGGTTGCTGCTGCTGCTGCTGCTGCTGCTACTACTACTACTACTACTACAACTGCAAATAATATTGCTGTATCTCCTGACTGAAGCATCTTTCTTACTTTGCAGTGTGATAGGGCATAGTATCAAACACATCTGGTGAATTTATGGACATACTAGAAAAAGGTACTAGAAAAAAGCCCAAAACTTACTTTATTTTATTTTATTTTTATATGGCTACATAACTTTTTAAAAATGCTGCTCCAGACAGCATACACCCATATAAACAGAATTATATTTTTGTTTTATTTTTATTTGTATCCCATCATTATTATTTTTACAAATAACTGAAGGTGGCGAACATATCCAACTTTCCTCCTCCCATTTTCCCCACAACAACAACCCTGTGAGGAGGGTTGGGCTGAGAGTGAGGGACTGGCCTAAAGTCATCAGCTGGCTTTCATGGCCAACACAGGACGTGAACTCATGATCTCTGGTTTTCTGGCCTGGTGCTTTTTGGACACTGGACCAAATTGGCTTTCCTACAACAATTAAAATTCAACCAAATACACAACTTACCTCCAGTTCATTGGATGAGCTCTTCTCATCTAATCTCATCCATCCTTTTCTAACCCCCATGCCTGAGGGAACAGTCAGGGCTTCCTGAAGGCTAGCAAGGTTGCAGCAAGTCAAATGGAGATGAAGATGGTAGTAACCATCACAGAGAAGGGATGCTTCTTACGTTCTATCAGATTATATTATTTTACAGAAGCTATCTGGAGCATGCCCTCTCTGTTGGAGTATGTGGGATAGGCAGAAACAACAAGAGAAAAAAGATATCCCCACAACGACCTAGTCTTACACCATGTAGGCTTTTATAAATGATAACCAGCATCTTTCATTGTGCCTTGAAGCCTACTGGGAGCCAGTGTAGCAGATCAATGAGATGCTACATGGATGTAATGATAAACAGCCATGACTATCTGTGCTACTGCATTCTGGACCAATTGCAGTTTCCAGAAGGTTTTCAAGGACCATCATGTAGAGTCCATTGCAATAGTTCAGCCAACTACAGCATGAGTAATGACAAGCAAGCCTCCTGATCCAGGTTCATACACAATTGGTGCACTTAACAGAGTTGTGCAAAGGATCCATGGCCACAGTTATCCCTTGCCCTTGGAGCAGGATCCAGAGGCTCAAGATGACCCCAGATGGCATACCAGGCCTGAGCAGAGGAGTGTCCCCCTCCAAAATCAAAGATGGAAAGTTTCCATTTTTCAGACAAGGAGGGCTCAAAACTCAGTTGTTCAATCTTGCTAAAGTTGAACCCAAGCTTGTTCTTCCAGGCTCCAGGCATTAAGAAGTATTGTCGACAACATCACTTAGATGTCCAGGAGCAAAGATATACAACTATTATCAACATACTAGTTATACTTCATTCCCTGCTATCAGATGACCTCTCCCAGCACTCTCCAAATGATAATAAAGGCAGGAGATACCTAGTAACACTGTGTCTTCCACCCCCAACTCTCACTCCATGGATCAGGAGGATCCATGACTAGTGATACCAAGAAAAACCACTGAGAGATTGAGGAGGATCAGGTTGGATGCATTATCCCCATCTTGTTCATAAATCAACAACAAGTACAACCAAGTGCTGTCTGTTATAGCCAGTCCTGAATCCATAGATAATACAATTTTTAAGAACCCTATGGAATTGTAGCCTAATCACTGTCTGAACAATTTTCCTTATAAACGAGAGGATGGAAACTGGATGAAAATTGTCCAGTTATGTTGGATCCACAACAGAAGAGTTGGCAGAAGCATCCCCTTCTCTCAAACCCTTATAAGTTCTTGAAAAGCTTATAAGAATGTGACCATAAATGATTAGAATATCAGTATGTGTTAAATCATGATAAAATTGGTGATTTGATTAGCAGCTGTTTGTTTATTGGCCAACTGTGATTGGGCACACAAAGAATTTGTCTTTGGTGCATATACTCTCAGGGTACGTAAAAAGAAGATACATTCATCAAGAATCATAAGGCACGGGACTTAGTGATAGTCATAGGGTACAAATAAGCAATTGAATCATACTAGGAAACAATATAAATTGTAAGGATACAAGCAACAAAGTTACCGTCATAAGTGGGAGGAGATGGGTAATAGGAACCATGAGAAGAATAATAGTAATGCAGACTTAGTGAATAGTTTGACAGTGTTGAGGGAATTATTTTTTTAGTAGAGTGATGGTGTTCCGTGTTCTTGTGTCTAGTTGTTCTGGTGTGCAGTGCTCTATAGCATCGTTTTGAGGGTAAGAGTTGAAACAATTTATGTCCAGGATGTGAGGGGTCTGTAAATATTTTCACAGCCCTCTTTCTGACTCATCATATGTGCTCTATTATATTATTTGATCTATAGTGTCATTTAAAATTAAGATTTGGGTTTTACATAACCCCGATGAAAGATTGCAATTTGTTGTCACTTGCAGACTTTTATCAGTATTGAAAACACAGTGCTCATGTACTGTCGTACTTGACACAGGAGCATTCTTACTGGGGATGCTGTTGTTGTTTTTTAATGGAGTTCCAGTGTTATATCCCTAAACTAGCAAGTTCTTAATGACCCTAGAAAGTGATTGCTTTGATTACACTTTAACGGTATTTGCAAATAAAATCACAAGTAATTAAGGGGAAATCTCCAGGCTTTTGAGCAACTTTGATGCATGATAACTGCCTGATTCAGCTCCATCTAGAGTAATGCTGTGTAGACAAGAGCTACTGAGATCAATAGCAACATGATAGTGGCAGAATTAAGTGAGTAACCTGAGAACTATGCCTTCAGAATGCATGCAGCTGCCACAAGCCGGGCCACACAGTGCACTCCTTGCTTCCGTCCTAAATGTTCATCAAAAGACGCCCTGCAGGAAAATGGAGTTAGATGCTCTTTATTGCTGATCGTGTCTCTTGCCACATTTATCAGGGAAATTGGATTAGCAGTTGGCAGCTGCAGGTAGACAAGGTTCTGCAGTGATTAAATATGCAGCTTGGCTGCATTTGTTGTGACAGACCTTTAGTAAATTCTACTGTAAGC